GAGTTCTTTTTTAATATATATTTAATGGGCCGACCTTTGACCACTATCTCGCCTGGTGCAGCAATGATGCGGTATACGATGCGGCACGTCGACCCAAAAGCACTCGGGCCATGAAGACACCCAGGTTGCACCCTTCAGGGTGCGTACTCTTGAAACCAATGTCAATGCAATTTCAATCCAATAATTATCCAATGTCAAAACTATACAACCTCTATCGTAGCTGTCGAAATAACATCCAGAGTACGGAATATAAAAACAAACTCAATACCATTAAGTCCATTCAATATCCACGCAATACGAATGCAATGGGCGCTAGTGTTGCAACTCAAGAGTACGAAATTTCACAATACCAATGCCGATCAAGAGTAAGCCCCCAGGGAACACAGACTCTGGCAAAGAATTCCACTCCTTAGCAGTACGCACAAGGAAGCTTGATGCGAAGCGCTTCGTGCGTGTGGGTGGGACATCTACCATGAATCAGTGACGTTTCGCCGATTGTCTTGTTATAGTCGCTAGTTTAAGCAATTATTCAATGTCTCTAAGTACTGCAGAGAGTTTTTATACCCTGTTCGCACTACAGTTTTTTTTTTGAGTGGCGAATATCATCCGATGGATTCTCCTACCTTTGGTGAAACTTGAGATAGTGACAGGCTCTTACTGACAAAAAACTACACCGTTTCTTCTCCTGCTCTTCGAGCCGGAGCCGCGACAACTCGTTAAAGTATTCCGCGGCTTCATATCGGCATCAGCCCTACTGGGCACCTGCTGTGGTGGTCTGATGGCTCTTTGAGGCGCGGAATGCGATGTGCCGTAATAGGTCGAGTCTGGTTTGCATCTACGCTAGTATTTTAATCGAGTAGTAGATTATTCTGCGGTAGTACTCTTTCTCGTTTTTGTCACAAAATCGAAGCGAAAGAGCCCTACTAAATACTCACTAATCGACTAAAATACTAGCATAGTAACAATGCGTTACAGTCAGTTCCAATCATCAAATTTTTTGAGGGAAAGACTAAAAAGGCGCTTGGCTTTTGGCGGGACATAAACTTTGGCCTTCGGCACTGCTGGGTCATAAATGATTTTGACTTTGACTTTGATCCCCAAAATATCGGCAACGCACTAGTAACTGCTGTAGTGTTGCGGGTGTGCATGGGCGGTGCTGATTGCTTACCATCAGGTAATAAGTCTGCTCGTTTGCATCTCATGAAAAAAAGAAATTGTTATTGTGTAACCCCAAATAAAGGAGGTAAATAGGACTAAGCCAATTGTCATACACAGGTCATGTGCCCTAATTTCGTGTCATTGACCCTAGACGAAGACATAGCAACCTTGTTATTTTTGAAATTCAAAAACCAAATTCAAATTATGTAGGGGCCTAATTTTTGGACTAGTTGATTCACAGAGAATAATAATTGTTAATTGTAATGCGGTATTTTGGCACATCACGTGTGTAATTACTTCGATGGCGGAGTTGAGTGGTTGCAGGTGGTTCGCGTTCGATGCCTAGGTTGCCAGAAACGAGAGAAAGAGTGTATTAACTAAAAATCGCGGGTTACTCACGTGAATAACCCGCTGGGACTGGTCAGCTCCAAACTGCATTATTTATTGTCTTTGACTGGATTTTGGTGTTACATTGTTCTCGCACAATCGAACCAATAAAACTGTGTAACTGAAGAATTGTATTGTAAACCCGATTGGAAAAGAGTAACCTATGGAGTTTCTTGCTCGTTCTTGGAATGAGCAAATAGCTTCACTTTTAATTTTCTATTGCTGACGTTGATAAGTGCCTTCCTGGTCTAATTGAAATAAATGATTTTGACTTTGACTTTGAATATACTTAGAAAAGCCCTATTAGTTTCGAACCACAGAGGGGTTCTTAGACCTCATGAGCAGCGTGCTCGGTCGCGGCGACGTCGCGCAGTCTACCGTAGACTATACTAGGTCTTACTATAGTTATTATAAAAACAAAGTGGGTTGTGTAATTATCAGAATTATTTCCTTACACAATCTATGGTTTACAGTATTTTGTATCTAATACATTTGTCAGCACCTCTACTCTTCCCGCGGGTGTGGTATACCCGACTAAGAGACTACACATTAGACAGAAACCGGGCAGTAGCGCTCTCTGATGGACCTGAACCTTTTAAACAGCGTATCTAAAGCGTGGAGTCTGGAGACTATCGCCTACACCAACCTATTGTTGGAATCAAGTATCACACATAGGACCCACTTAGTTTTTAGTCAAATTTCCGTGGTGCTTGGCGACTGGGCTTCTTCCAGTTGTACAGTCTCTTTTTGTGTCTTTAGGCTTAATTCGTCCTGTCTCCTGCCATAATTCACCGAGGGAAGTGGAAACTATAGTTTTTTCTTCTTCTCCTCTTATAATATCTTCTGATTCACTTCGTTGCGGGATCCAAGACAGTTACTCATGTCCCTGCGACGTTGGACTTCAGTGTTCCGGTGTTTTCATGGTTGTATCTTCTGTAGATCCCGGCTTACCAGGAGTTGTAGCGGTTTTGGGAGGTTGTTGCGAGCTTGTCCCATCGATAGACTATCGCAAACTCTTACGAAGAGGAGGCCTATCATAGTCCAGCAGTGGACCGTTGGTCCTTTTTGATGATAATAACAAATATAATTTCCTATTTGTACTACGGGTCTCTTAGTTGGCTTTTACAATACCCCACGGGTAGAGCGAAGGTGGTAAAAATATATTACAGACAAAATTCACACGCACGAAAAAGGTCAATGACCTCTAACCTGAACTAGGAATCGTACCTAAGCCTCATAGCAACGAGCACATAGTAGTTATATGCTAAAGTATATTCAATATTGTATTATTATGTAAAAAGTCACGCAGAGCTATGTAAGTTCAAGGTTTCTTTCAGTGGCTGAAAACCCTGAAATAGGTATAACTAGTTATTTCTTAGGTTCTCTTTTTAACCGACTTCAAAAAGAGGAGGTTCTCAGTTTGACCTGTATGTATGTATGACATAACATCTCGTCTTTTATCCCTGAAGGGGTAGGCAGAGGTGTACATTACGGCACTTATGCCACTGTACAATGTAACACCCACTTTTCACTATTTATATAATGGGTATATAATATGTTCCAACTCATAACATAATTAGTGAAAAGTGGGTGTTACATTGTAAGTACATGTGCACTTCTGTCTAACCCTTGCCATTCGGGGATTAAATTCTTAGTCTTTCTAGACCAAAAACTGACGAATACTAGATATTGTATGTCCTATAGTGAATTGCGATCTCCGTAACTATTGCGATAAGGGGCCCGTGATAACAGTCGGATAGACCTAATCTTGCTGATAACAATATTATATAACGCACAATAAAAGAATACAATGCGAACTGTGGGAGAGCCATGCTTCGGCACGAATGCGCCGGCTCGACCGGAGTGATACCACGGCCGAGAAGAACAACGACGTGAAACAACGCTTGCGTTGTGTTTCGTCGTGTGAATAAGGTTATCGGAAGCCCCATTACTCCCAATCTTCCCAATCCCCAAATTCCAAACAATCCTCAAATATCTAATACCCAAAGGCCGGTAACGCTCTTGTTGAAACGCCTCCGATGTTCCAGGTGTCCATAGGCAACGCCGATTGCTTACAATCAGGTGATCCGTCTGCTCTTTTACCGGCTTATCCCATAAAAACCTTATAGACGTACGTGTTTCTAAAAATTACTTGTATCGATTCCCCAGTTAGACAATAATATTGAAGGGTTCCATCAACTGGTAGTATAAGTTGATGGACCTAGTTTAAGATTTCTTCTCATAAACAATTAACTATTTTCATACAAAAATCTTAATTAATCTTTAACCGGCTCCGTGTGCACTACAGCATTCGTTAAAAAATATTTCCTTGACAGACTTTAGTCAAGTAAAAACCACTTCGAACTGGCTAAATACGGATTCTAAATAAATATGTTTGTCGAAATATATTTTCTGGGGATTTCCGAAGTTGATATAAGTAATATTTTGCGCGAAATTATGAGAATTAATGTGAAACTACCGTTACCGCTGTTTTTTTTGTTGGGGGGATATCATCCAATGACTTCTCCCGCCCGGGTGAAGTGAGAGGTCAGTCAGTGTCAGATTGACTAAACAAAAACCACCCTATTTCTACTCGTCTGTCGTTTTGTGTTTATAAAAAAGTCAGAATTTTAATTAGATTCCAGATTTGACAATAGCTACTGTCATTTTGTGAAATAATGATACCACATATAATAGTGTAGTGATGAACACAAAAATCGATAAACAATCAGTGTGTGTGTTTTATAATAAATGTTACAGAAAGTGACAGGATAGCGATAGCGATGACGGCGACAATTTATAAAATAACTTGTTACCATAATACATCTATCTGTTTTACTTGTCATGTTCCTTCATGATTACATTTTTTATTTATTTTACACACAATTATAAAAAAAAGTCTCAGATCATTAATTAATCGTCAAAACTAAATTATCGGTTCAAAAATATTTAATTTTCTGATATACTTACTTTACGAGAGTAAAATTATAAACGAGAAGAATCGATCCAGAAATATTGCATTTCTATATCGAATAATTTCGCAACGTCACTATTTAGTACTTGTCATAACGTTGCAACCCTGAAATTGTCAAATCTGGAATCGAATTAAAATTCCGAGTATAGTATAATTCTTCTTCTTTAATTTTAAACCTAACCGCTGCCGCTGTATCGAAATAACGCGAAATTCGATTCTTTTTGTATGGATGAAAATGACTGAATGAATGATGGGTGAGGCGGGAGGGAGTGTCAAACTCTTACTGACTAAAAACCACCCCGTTCCTACTTCTGCACGTCGAGCCGTACCCATGGCTACCCGTTAGGCCTTCCGCGGCTCCGTATCGAGCATCAGACCTATTGGACTTCATCTGTGGTGGTTTGATGGAGTTTCATGAGCTAGCGTCTGTATTTCAACTAATATTTTAAGGATTAATTGGATTTATTGTGTCTTATTTCAGGTAGCAATAAAAATAATAGACAAATCGAGGTTAGATGAAGACAACTTGAAGAAAACATTCAGAGAAATAGCCATAATGAAGAAACTAAGGCACCCACATATAGTAAGGTTATATCAGGTGAGAAAATAGAAGATCTATTGCTTATTAGCTTCTGCCATCGGCTTCTCTTGCGTTCCCGTGGGTAAAAAGTAGCCTATTTTATTTATTTATTTAGTTCTCAATGTACCCAATTTAATTATGGCACATAAGGCGAACTTAATGCCATATGGCATTCTTTATCAGTCAACCTTAGAATTTAAGTAGAAAATCAGCGAAAAATAAGGTACGGAGAATAAACTAACAGCAAAGAGAGAGAGAGGGAAAAAAATATGATTATTATTAAATAATATAGCTACAAAATAGTAAATAGTATGTATAGTCATAAGCATTAAATATATAGGTATAAATACATACATAGGTATATATCGACGAAGACCTAGACCTAGCGTTGTAGCGAAAAATTAATGAACTTGGTGTTTAAAGGAGATTTTATTATGGATCAAACAGCCCCTAATAATCTTACACTATGGGTCAAGCTGCCCCTAATACCCTGTGTTATATAGGCTAACATGTATGTATAATATTTCAGGTTATGGAAAGCACTCACACGATATACTTAGTCACAGAATACGCGCCTAACGGGGAAATATTTGGTGAGTTTATTTTATAGTATTATTAAATTATTCCTTATCATCTTCATTAGCCTGCCCCGTTGGCTGATTGGACGCAAGTGCGATTGCCGGGCAATTGATACTAGGTTGTAAAAAAATTCTCAGTGGTAGCACGGAGTCTGAATTTGTGTCCGATATATGGCATTAGCCACCCCTATTCCATGGGACTCTTAACATAAATAGTGAAAAGTGGGTGTAACATTGTACAGTGGCATTAAGTGTCGTAATGTGCACCTCTGTCTATCCCTTCAGAGATAATAGGCGTGATGTTATTTTATTTCTATCTCGATGTTCCCAGACCACTTAGTATCCCGGGGTCGTATGACGGAGCCGGAGGCGGCGCGCGCCTTCGCCCAGATGGTCGCCGCCGTGGGATATTGCCATGCTAACGGAGTCGTTCACAGAGACCTCAAGGCTGAGAACTTGCTGCTGGATAAGGATATGAATATTAAGGTAAGCTGGTCTTGCCGTGGAAATGTAGAAATAGATGACACTAATTGACTGCACGGTTGGTACTTTCGAATGGAGAAGAACGAGCAAGAAACTCCATCTTTACGTTATTTTATTTATACTGATGACGATAATGGTAATTCTAACTACGGTACCTAATTTAGCCTCCCTTTCCCCCCCAGTTAGCAGACTTCGGGTTCAGCAACGAGTACACAGCAGGGTCGCCCCTAGCGACGTGGTGCGGCAGTCCACCGTACGCGGCGCCGGAACTCTTCGAGGGGAGGCAGTATGATGGACCTAAAGCCGATATATGGGTGAGTTGGAGACGAGTAAATGGGTCTTTAAGGGGGCAAATTGTTATTTATATTATATTAATATGTTCCTATATTTCAGGCAACTGTGGTCCATATAAAATATAATACACAAATAAATTGTTGCACGGTTGGCGCGGTGGCTGGGCAACTGACTGTCGCGCAACGTGTCGCGGGTTCGATTCCCGCACGGAACAACTCTTTGTGTGATCCACAGATTGTTGTTCCGGGTCTGTGTGTCATGTGTATGTGATATTGTATGTTTGTAAACGCATCCACGACACAGGAGAAAATCCTACTGTGGGGAAAGGTTTTTTTTTTAGAAAACAAAACTTAAAAAAAAATACATCAATAAATTAATAGATATACAATAAAAAAACTTGTAACTTATAATTATTGTATACGAAGAGACGGCGTCGTTTCATCCCTTTCATAGTTCAACGGACTCCCAACCCAACTTACTTGAGGATTTTAATTACATCACAGTTTTGAAGGTGCTACGTCGACTGAGAAACTGACTTTCAAAGATTATGGGTTGAGCTCAGTTATTAATTACAATTGTAAGAAAAAGTGTCAGTAAGAGTCTGGCATTCCTTCCTGCCTCACCCAGGCGGGAGAAGTCATTCGAAGTCCTTAAAAAATTGATTGAAACAACTCGAGATTTTCTTATATATTTGATGGGTCGACGTTTGACCACTATCTCGCCTGGTGGTGCACGATAATGCGGTCTACGATGGAGCACGTCGTCCCATAAGCAACCTATTCCCTCGGGCCTTGAAGGCACCTTGAATACCCTTCAGGGAACACAGACTGGCAAAGAGTTCCACTCTTTAGTACGCACAAGGAAGCTTGATGCTACGCGCTTCGTGCGTGTGGGTAGGACATGTACGATGGCTCGGTTGGTGGTGGCGGCAGTAATGTGGTGGTGTGTGCAGTCGCTGGGCGTGGTGCTGTACGTGCTGGTGTGCGGCGCGCTGCCCTTCGACGGCAGCACGCTGCACGACCTGCGCAGCGTCGTGCTCAGCGGGAAGTTCCGCATACCGTACTTCATGTCGCAGGGTCAGTGCACGCATATATCACTTTATTTGGAAGGTTAATGGCCGTTGCATCCGAGTGGCCGAGTGGTCGAAGTGCGACTGCTGGGCAAAGGGGTCTTGGGTTCGATTCCCGGGTCGGGCAAAGTATTACTGAGGTTTTTTTTTTAAAAAATTCTCAGTAGTAGCACAGATGTTATGTTATGTTTTATATTAATGGCCGTTAACCTAATTTTTTTTTAAATAATTAGATCTCAATATCTTCATACAAATAGAGTACTCATAATCGCCATTATGAGTATTTTTTATGGAATTAAACGAGCAGACGGGTCACCTGATGGTAAGCAATCGGCGTCGCCCATGGCCACCTGAACACTAGAGGTGTTGCAATGGGATTTTGGGGATTAGGAATTTGAGGATTATTGAGGATTCGAGGATTGGTGAGTTTTGGGCGTTAATTAGGCCTCCGATAACCGGTGTTTTACTACGGTTTTCTGTTTGTTAGTGGTATCACTCCGGTCGAGACAACTCATTCGTGCCGAAGCATAGTTCCCACACTTATATTATTAAAATCACCATCATGAGTGTTATAAATTAACACCACTTTACATTTCATACAACGAAAATGTACTTTAGTACCTAGACTATTGTAAATAAATACAAATCATTTACCAACACTTCATTTGTTGAACATAATAAGACCAAGATGGCTGATGGTAGTAAAACTCAATTTAATAAGTTTCTATTACTAGGATTTAGTTTTCTTTTAATCACTGATTTAAATTATTTATGCTTTACTTTAAATAACTATCTTTTTTTTATTTATTTTTTATTTATTTATTTAAGGAAAAACAAACAGTAACATATTACAAAATATACATAATTCAGCTTACACATTATACTTGGCAAATATGTTACCCACTACGTTCTCCACAGATTACTTTTTATATTAGATCTAGAGTGACACAAATATAGTTACATCTTGCAGATACATTGTAAATAAATATTGTATTTCTCCAATCAGAATGCGAGCACTTAATCCGTCACATGCTAGTAGTGGAACCGGAGCGTCGTCTGTCACTGCGCGCCGTCGCCAGACATCGCTGGCTCGCTGCGCATCGACATGACCATCAACCTGGACCTGGACCTGGGATATACGGTGAGCAGAGATCAAAGTCAAAATCATTTATTTCAATTAGACCAGGAAGGCACTTTTTGGCAACAAATAAAATGAAAAGTAAAGCTATTTGCTCATGATAATAGATTTATATGGAGAAGAACGAGCAAGAAACTCCATAGGTTACTCTTTTTCAATCAGGTTTACAATACAATTCTTTAGTTACCGTAAAATGGGGTGGATAGGGATCCAGAGGTGAATAGATCATCAATCATACGTTTACTTCAGCTGTGATCACCATCATTAACCTGTGAAATGTTGGCACGCAGATTTACGCGATACACGATGTGTTTTTGTAGAAATTAAAAAATTGAACCCTAGTTTACTGACTAAATAGTATATCTATGGTAGAACCTTAGTTCATAGATACATACCTTTATACTATTGTCTATGATTCCGGTTCCGTGTCTTCCAAGTGTTTTTGTTTTATGTATTAGTCAGAAGAAAACTATATTTCTAAAGTTAAAACTGTTTATCCTTATTGTGTCTCATAATATATTGTGGGACAAGAGGTTTATCATGAATACTGCTTTGTCATATCACTCATTACTATTTACAAAATCGATATTTATGTAGATACTGATCATTTTTGTCATGATTTTTTTTTTTTATTTGTCATCTACCTATCTTAATAAATTATTGTCATAATCTTCACTACTCATCAAGTCAAAGTCAAAATCATTTATTTCAATTAGACCAGAAAGGCACTTTCGAACGTCAACCAGTCATTAAGTATCCATTCATAATCAATTTCATCATCAAACTTCATCTGTAATTACCATCTTCATTATACTCACCGCCACATTTTCATTACCACTTACATCAGTACTTAATCACCATTCCACTTATCCCACTTACAGAAGAAAGTCTGGGCGCGTGTGCCTGCCACTCGGACGGCGCCAGTGTAGAGTCCCAGCACAGCGCGGCGCAGCGAGACACTGTACGCCGACATATGCTCACTCTGCCCGGACTTACGCATCTACTTATTGAACAGGTAATTTAATCACAATTATACTTGTAAGGTGTATTTTTAAGGCCATAGGCAGCGCTGATTGCTTACCATCAGGTGAGCCGTCCGTTCTCCGTTCTTTTGCCGCCCTATACCATTACGATGAGTGTATGGTGATGATAGAGAACAATATTCTTTATCACCACTGCTACTCTCCCTCCGGGTATCTAAACGCGTCTTATGGTTTACTTTAACAGTGAAGGTTCATTAATAACCTCCCGCCTGTCTCCCATGAGGGTAGGCAGAGATTATGAACACGAATAATTAAGGCAAAAGCACTCGCTAATAAACCTGATTCTTTAAACTGATATCTCTAACTGACCTGTCAAGTTTGGGGATCAATTCTAATAATTTCGGCTAACATTTGTAATATTTTTTCCAAGTTTCTTAATTTTTATTAATAATATAATTATTTTTCCACAGGCAATACAAGAAGATCGTTTCGACCACATATCAGCCATCTACCACTTGTTAATGGACAAACTACAACAGAGGTCCAGCGCTAGAAACAGCTTACAGCATAGAGGTAATAATATCTTAATCCCCACTTTAAGTAAAATGCTACTAATCACCACATCGAGTTAAAGTTGCTAACCGTCACATAGAATAAACGTCGCTAATCACCGCCCTATGTAAATCGTCAATAATCACCACATTGAGTTAATGGTCTTGATCATTAAAGATATCAAATTATTCACTTCTGTTTATAATTTTGTTTTGTAGTGTAAGGTAACTATTTTATATTCTACAAATAAAATAGTAGTGTTATCCGGAATGAATGTAATTTCTAATTATATTAATCACCATTTTGAGTAAAAGTATATAAATTATGTTTGTATTCTAGATTCATTGGATTCAACGACTGGACAACCTTTGGATCTCACTAGCTGTAAGGTAAGTTGAAAAAACATACTATATACTAATAAACTTATCCCCAAAAGGGTCTACCCATTTTAGAGATAACTAAACTATTTACAGAGGTCCACATATACAGTGTAACACCCATTTTTCACCAGATATGTTATGCGTCTCATGGTAACGATAATGATTAGACAAAATCACTATCTACTATTCTTTTATAGAACTAAAAAGATGTTTGTCCTACCTTCACAAATCTAACACTCTTCTATCTCCTTCTAGAACGTAGAAGACGAGCAGATGGACGCAGAAGAATCAACAGCGCAGGACTGTCTAGTGACAGTTCCGTGTGAACCAGTCGACTACTTGACTGACCAGCCTGATAACTTGGAGAAGGTGAGTGAGATAAACAATCATCGCCATTATCATCATATAACTGATGGTTACTGCTGACCAAAGGCCTCTTCTCACACGGAGAAGGTTTGAGCATCAATCACCACGCTTGCTCAATGCGGGTTGGCGATTATAAACTTATAGTTAGAAATTATAAGTCCAGGTTTCCTCACGATGTTTTCCTTCACCGTTTGTCAGTGGTGTCTAAATAATCTTAGAAAGTACATATAACTCGAAAAAAGTCACATTGGTACTTGCCGTTGGTAGGTTTTGCACCACCATGAGGATAGATTTGAAACAAAGTGACAAGTTCGCTTTAAATCCACCCTCATTGTGCGGGCTCGGAGGGATCAGGCTGTGGATCAGTCCTCGACGAGCTAGGTGCTTGTAGAGAGCAAATGGACTGTATAATGAAATGGAGAACTCTTGTACACTGATATACTTTAATTATGATAATGTTAACAACACTAGTGGAAAGGAAATTGACAATATTACGATCGACTTTATATAATAACTACACACACTGTTCTGACGCTCTGATGAATTGACAATCATTGACACACTATTGACAACTGATTGCGCCTCGCAAGGAGGCGTCCTTTTATAGGCGAGCCGCGCGCGGACAGGATTAATCCTGTCGCTATGGGCTCGCGACTCGGCCGCTCTGCGACGGAATCATGTTTGTACATGCTCAAAGGCAAGTTCAAACAAAGGATCGCCGCCGCGCGCCTTTGATGTTCGTGTCTGAACTTGCCTTTTCGTCGTGGTTCCAACAAGTTCGAAACACGTCGCGGGCGGCTCGCGGCCTAGCATTGCCGTCGTGCACACTCATATTTAACTATAGTAACATAAAATATTCCGATATTCGCTGTCGTTGATTGGTGAACATAGCTACGATTGTCTGTGTTATCTTGTTGTTTTTTTTTTTTATTTATTTACACTTCTGTATATTATAACATACGATGGCGGACTTAATGCCGGGTGGCATTCTCTAACAGTCAACCATGGGGTGATGCAGAGATGTACAACAGTAGGTGTAATAGGTATTATTATTCAATTTATGTGACACAGAAAAATCTATATAAATAAATTCAAGATTATGCATAACTGTGAATACATACATATATCCGTATATATAGGTATAATATAAATTACATAAGATACATTATCAATACATTATCAATATTACTAAATAACAATACGATGATATGTTGTTGTGATTTTATTCTTTTGTATTCATTATGCAGGTTAATATTGGTATCGAAACCAAGGCCATATATTCGGTTGGTCGTAATATATCTCAAATATCGAATGAAACCAGCGTACAAATGGAGAATTTAATTTAATCGCTGTATGTTTGTGTTACAGTTCGGTTCCACGACAGCCCCAGTAGTAGACGAGCCCCCAGCGCCCCCCGTACAGACGTCCCCCACAGAGACTCACGCCACTAGGAGGCACACAGTGGGCCCGGGGGACTGTCGACATACACAGGTACTGTTACTAACTAATATACTACCGGCAAATTAACATAACATCACACCTTTTATCTCCGAAGCGGTAGGCAGAGGTACAGATTACGGCACTTAATGCCACTGTACAAACCCACTTTCCACTATTTATGTTATGAGTCCCATGTAATAGGGGGTGAGCATATTGCCATATACCGGGTACAATTCCAGACTCCGTGCTACTACTGAGAATTTTCTAAAAATCCAGTAATACTTTGCCCTACCCGGGATTGGAATCCGAGACCCCTTGCCCAGCAGTCGCACTTGTGACCACTCGGCCAACGACGTAATCGACGTTATCCTCAAAAAGTCTTCATTTAATTATTATTCAAGCCCCAGTTTGACTTGAAATTAGTAGGACATCCTCGAAACATGTATATTGTTTTAATTTTGACGTTAATTTGATGGCAGGGTGGAGAGCTGGGTGTATGCGGAGCAGCGTCAGCAGATCTACGACCCTCACCGTTATATGTATCTGCGCATTTCAATGTAAGTTTATAAATGTATTTTTATATAATAAGTGTGATAATTCGTTTTTATTTTGTATTTATATTGGCTCAGCGACTTAAATTGACTTTTCTTTTAAGGGGGCGACGATAAATTACGTGAGGTGTTTTTTTTATTGTCTGTCCCTCCCTCCCCCCTTGGTGAGATTTTATTCAACACCCTCCCCCATCCCCCAATCTCACGTGAGATTTGTCAAAATGTTGGTTTTTCACGTAAACGCTTTGGATTGTTATTGCAAAAAGAAAAAAAACCATGTGCATGTATGTACGTACAATTAAATCTTAAGTATGTAAGTACGTACAATCTGAAATAAATGAACAATGAACTCGGTAAAAATAGGACATTGTTTTTATCAGAAAAATAATTACGTGATATTTGCCGAGATCCCCTCTCACTCCAACGTAAGATTAGATGAGATTTGAGTCTACCCCCTCCTCGCTTAAACATCTCACGTAATTTATGGACGCCCCCTAAGTGGGGACTTCTTCCGCCTGGATGAGGCGGGATAGCCTTGGAGATGTCCCCCCTTAACGTCAGTACTGTTATGGTGTGCAGCAACAAGTGTCCCCGAACGTGTCGCTGCTGCCCAACACGAACCTGGCCGCCAAGCTGCCCGCCGTGCAGCACCAGCCGCCGCGCTACTTCAGCGTCAAGGACCAACACCTGCTCAAGCCGCCGCACGCCATGCAGACGCAGGGTATGCCCAGACTCCTTGCTAATTGTATCATAAATACCCTAAAAGCCTCGACAAAAAAAACGAGAATATTCGCAAACGAACAAAGGTCGTTGACATAGCTCAGCGGATTAGCAAGTTGAAGTGTCAGTGGACACACCGCGGAGTCCCCCGGCCGCAGGGAGCTCCACTGGACCACACCCACCGCGGCGGACGACCTCAACCAGGTCGCAGGGAACTGGGTGCAGGGCGCTTCAAACTGACCTATCTGGAAGTCCTTGGGGAGGCCTATGTTCAGTGGTGGACATCCTGTGACTGATATAATGATGATAAAAAGCCTCGAAATCCATCTTAGGAGGTTGGCGTTAGGTGCACGGATCAAGGTCCTGATATAGAAGGTAGTTCTCTTAGAAACGACATGTATCGTGAGGAGGTTTCTGTCTCTGGAGCCCTAACCACCAGTAGCTTGGACCATGCTCCCGCTACTGGTCGACTCCAATTTATATATTTTTTAATATTAGTTAATTGTTTGTCCAGTACTATTTAGAAATTAATTCGTAGAAAATTTTAAATAGATATATAGAAATTATAAATTGGAAAGTGTATGTTCTTCATTCACATCACATTATATCAACAGCTTACAAGTGATCACTGCTGATCAAAGACCTCTTCTCACACGGAGAAGGTTTGAGCAGTAATCACTACACTTACTCAACCACATTGAGTAAGCGTAGTGATTACTGTAAGTATATATAACTCGGAAAAAGTCACATTGGTACTTGCCGTTGGTTGGTGTGGTGATTAATGCTCAAACCTTCTCCGTGTGAATGGGTTTTTCTTAACAAGGGATACTTATAGACCGATGATGATGAACCTTAGTAATAAAAGGTTATTTATTCTATTTATTTATTTTGACTATCGTTTTTAAAGAAATCTTTTTGTATTGTATTAGTACTTTGTTTTTATGGTATAGTCCGGTAATCGAGTAGACGGATCACCTGATGGTAAGCAAGCGGCGTCACCCATGGACACGTGGAACACTAAGGCATTATAGTATCATTAACCAGCAATACATGGTCCGCAGCGTCGACGTTCGGCCGTCGCGCGTCGGACGGGGGCGCGCACGTGGCGGGCCGCGACCGCGCCTGCTGCCACTCCGCGCCCGCGCACCACGTACGTATACACCATCCTTGCATTTACTCATTCACCATTCGTCCATACCCCACAATTACTCCCCTCCCCTATCTCCTGAATCCCCGAATGCACAACAATCCCCAAAAGGCCGATAGCGCAATAGTAACTCGTTTGTATTGTGCACGGGTGCAATATGCATGTATTATACATATAAACTGCCTCGTTGACCAAGTGGTCGCAAGTGCGACTACTGGGCAAGGGGTCTCGGGTTCGATTACCAGGTCGGGCAAAGTATTACTGGGTTTTAAAAAAATTCTCAGTAGTAGCACGGAGTCTGGAATTGTGCCCGGTATATGGCAATAGACTCACCCCCTATTACATGGGACTCATAACATAAATAGTGAAAAAGGGGGGGTTACATTGTAAGTACAGTGGCATAATGTACACATCTACCTACCCCTTCAGGGATAAAAGGCGTGATGTTATGTTATGTATGTATACACATATAAACCTTCCTTAAGAATCTCTATTAAAAAAACCGCATCCAAATCCGTTGCGTAGTTTTAAAGATCTAAGCATAAGGGACAGACAGCCGGCGTCGGGTAGGGACTTTGTTTTACATTACGTAGTGATATACAGAGTTCATTAGTCCAGGTATGCTGAAGTTAAATACCTCATATGAAAGCTTAAGAAATGTAGATTTTTTTTGTAAAAAGTGCACAACATGGGTTATAGTTTATCAAGCGTGTCTTTGCATTGTTCTCACAGTACTGGAATATGTATCAGAGACATTGTAGAACATACTTTTCTAAAAGAGTAACGAATAAAGTTTCTTGCTCGTTCTTCTCCATTCGAATCTACATTTTGGAATGAGCACCTAGCTTCAACTAGCTTCACTGAAGGACGACTGACAGAATATTATTTGTTTTGTATTTGTTGACATTTCAAAAGTGCCAAATTATGGTTTAATTGAAATAAATGCTTTAGACTTTGACTTTGATTATAGAAATTTTCTTAGAAAATCATATTTCTAAGTCAAACTTGTAGAAACTTTCTATAATTCTATGATTTTGTGATCACTATGTCTAAAATAATGTTATCATTGTGTATTTGATGATTAGAACCAGTAAATAAACCATTAAAGTATTAACAAAAAAAGAAATTTCTTTTTTGTTTTTTTTTTCAGTTTTAAAGTTACCCCGGGCGTCTCTTTGAAATTGACATTAAAAATTAAATATTATAATAACCATTCATTTCCGCCTACCACTTTGTCAAAAACGACCGACCCCATCAGAGATTGTGGTCAATTTACAATTCACCCTGTATACTAATATCTTCATCCCATCGCCGTATAGGTATCAGACAGCGGGACCCCCGCCCGGGCCGAAGACGCGGAGCAGTCTGAGGAACAAAATACTGACTCAGCTTATAACACTAATTTATGCAGGTAAGATGTTATACACCATATCCATATATACTTAAATTAGGGGATTTTTAATAGAGCTCAAAAGATTTGAAATTAGAGACAAATATGTTTTTATTATAACTATTGTGAGACATACTAAATTAAGTGAAAATCGCGGATTACTCACGTGAATATACTGAGAAAAGCTCTACTAGTTTCGAGCCACAGTTAGCTGCGCGACATCGCCGCGACCGCGGACGCTGCTCATGTGGAAGAACCCCTCTGTAATTCGAAACTAGTAGAGCTTTTCTCAGTATATTCACGTGAGTAACCCGCGATTTTTAGAGGGACAAATACTTACTCATATATGTTATTTTTAGAATCCACCCTTAGATCTATAAATTAAATCATTTTGAAGCCTCGCAATCTTTTTTAATTAGTCGAAATCACTGCTTATTTTGATTTGTTAATACCGAGAATTTTCTATAAAAGATTTCTAGTTATCACATCATATTGACTGCACGTTTGCGCTTTTGATTCCCGCACAGAACATCTCTTTGTGTGATCCACAGAGTGTAGTTCCGTGTCTGTGTGTGTGTGTGTGTATGTAAACTTGTATGTTTGTAAACGTACACACGACACAGGAGACAATACTAGTGTGGGGCAACTTTTTAAAAAACAAAAGAAATGTATTTTGCGACCATTATCATATCTGTTTCCTCAATGCTTGTTTCTTTTAGATTGGCCATAAAATATCAAAATGAAACTTCAAATTAAATCAAATAACATTGGCAATTATGCTTTGGAACCCTTTTTTTTTTTTTTTTTTTTAAGGGGGGAAAATCATCGAATGACTGCCCCCGCCTGGGTGAGGCGGGAGGGAGTGTCAGACTCTTACTGACTAAAAACCACCCCGTTCCTTCTCCTGCACGTCGAGCCGGAGCCCCGGTTACCCGTTAGGTTCTCCGCGACTCCGAATCGGCATCGGCCCTATTGGGCCCCATCTGTGGTGGTCTGATGGCTCTTTGAGGCGCGCGCGGAACGCGACGCGCCGTACGCTCGGGTCTGTTTCTGGTCGGACGGGGAGCCACCCATGCTCGCCGTCCGCAGGCCCGCGCTTACGGTGGCCGGAGATCGTCCCGCGATCCCCGACGCCCGGTGTGTCCTTCGCGATGGCTGGGTTGCGAGGAGGCAGCGCTTCGCTGCCTCACGCGTCCCGCCTCCTCCTTAGCTAGCATTTTGGAACCCTTTGGGGTTGAAACTTTAGGGCCGTGGGGCCCGAGTGCACATCCTTTTTACACAGATATTGTAAGGAGGATGGTTGACACTTCAGGTGATCGAAGGGCTGGCTACTACCTTGGACAAAGACCCTACTTCACAATAGCGCACCTTCACATTTTGAGCACCCTACTTCACAATAGCGATGAGGATTTTTTTTTGATGCCTTAAGATAACGTTTTTATTATTATTACTTTTTTTAAGGTGTAAATATTTTAGTTATTTATATTTTCAGTTGTAATATATAACATTACATGTATTTCATAGATAAATACTTCAACAAAATGTAACATTATTTATTCCTTGCGAAAAATCTTTGAATAACTCTACAATATGATATAATTGTCAACTTATTGCAACGACCACGCTCTCACTGCATCACCTAAAGGTTGGCTAGTAAGAATGCCCATGGCATTAAGCCCGCCTATGTACTTTTGTTGCATAAAGTTAAATAAATAAATAAAAAAAAAATATGTATATTTTGTCGTTAGATACATGATGAACCGCGGCAGTAGTAAGCGTCACACGATGGCGACGCCGGAGGACGCCGCCAACGTCGTCACTTCTAGCACTGGATCTATGGTATGTAGGCTGAGGATTTCTATAAATATTTATGTATGGTTGATAAAATTGTAGGTCTTATCAAGTAGTTATACGATTAAAATGATTTATGAAAATTTATTTGATAACTAAGCTATAAAGAAGTCGGTTAAAAAATCGACTGAAAATGAAAAAAGCAATATGACATGAAATTATTGTTTTTTTTTTCATAATTAATTATATTTGTTGGGGCGACGTTTGTCTACAATCTCGTCTGATGGTAAGCGATGATGCAGTCTACGATTTAAATTATACAAACAAGATTTTTTGCAAAATGTTTATGTTAATGACAATAGTATTCAGTTTTTAATGTTAAGTTATTGTCAAAACCAATGTCCAAATTTTTGTCATTTTCTTCAACAGCAAAGCACATCGCCGTCTTCTACGACAAGTATACGAGTGAGAAGAACAGGTCTTTTGACCGTCACCGAAAGACCGCCGGGTAAGTCTACTGAAAAGACCATAATTGTAGTATGTTTTGCAATGTCTAGAGTGTACAGTGATAAAAAATGTTGTTATCTTCAATTTTATACCACGGTCTTTTTGTTAAAAGACGGTCTTCTCGTGAAAAGACCGAAAGACCAACCTTCAAGTGTTTTTTAAATCTCTAGTTTGTTTCTTTTAAAAGCAGTTTGATAGAGATTGCTAAACTTATTTGTGTTAAAGTCTATTTTATAATGTCAAAATTGAAGTAACAATATATCCAATCACTATTTTGAAATATCTAACAATATAATATAAATAGAAAATTCCTATTACATGAAATTCATAATGAGATACGAAATTAATGCGTTCAACTGCAGGCTTGCTTTTGATAATTGTGTTATAGTGGTCACCGGTGACCTCTTTCCATTTACACCATTATAGACCTTATTTACTATGTTTAGAGATTACTGTTGTATAAACAGATGTTGTGGATTTTTCATAATGATGGATTAAGAGGTTAAAAAACGTATTTAATACTATATTGTTAGATGTTACAAGCTATGCTAGACTTTTTAATATTTTTACGATTTTTTTTTTGCTTAACGAAATGTTGAGATTTTTTAATATTAATTCGATGTTCGATGACATAACTTGACTAGTTTCAAGCTACGACAGGAAGCCATAATTTTCTTTTTTAAAGAAACATCCCACACTAGGATTTCATCCCGTGTCGTGCGTGCGTGTACACACACATCCCAACACAGACACGGAACAACAATCTGGGGATCGCAAAAAGAGTTGTTCCGTGCGGGAATCAAACCCGCCACACGTTCACGTTGCTCGGCAGCCGGTTGCCCACCCACCGCACAAGCCGTGCATTCAAATAATCATGAAATGATTGCTCAGTCACGGGGAGAGTCAAGATAATAGCACCCATACGAAGCCGAGTGGGATTCTAGTATAAAATTCGATAGATTAAATTAAAAATCTCAACATTTCACATTTAAAGTTTGACCAAAGTAGTTAAAAGCTAAGCATGACTCAGTAGTAATGCATCTTCAGTTTTTTCGCTATTTTTTCTAAAATATTTTTATTGTTTTTTTTGCTTTTATTTGTTTTTTATTATTATTTTTTTTAGTAATTAGCCCAGAATTAGTAATGGAGGTCGAAGCTCGGATGAAGAGGAACTATTTGCCACCTTCAATGCAATATCAGAACCAAAGCGGGTACCAAAGCCCCCCCACCCCCACGGGACCCATTCCAAACCCCGTCCCCCAATCCCCAACCCAAGGCTCTATAACCGCAGGCACCCCAAATTACTCCCAAAATTCAGGAAACCAAAAATCCATGAAACCTGTCTTACAAACGATTCCGCAAGGCAGTATAATGGGCACTAAGGGGTCTATTATGTCTGGCACCCCAATAAGCCAAGCTGTATCCCCTTTCACCCCCACTATGGGGCAATTTACTTCAAATGTGACCCAAAATGTGGGGTCTATAACCAGTGGGACCCCAGTAAACCAAGGTTCGATCATGTCTGGCACCCCAACTTACGATAATACAAAGAACTTTGGCAGCTTCAGCTCCAATAGTTTTGGGAGTATTCCTAGCTGTTCCTATAATACCTCTAATGCGAATAATTTCGGTTCTATTACGAGTGGGACCCCTATTAACCCGAATTTCCAAAATACACCTGGTTCCTATCAACAGACCCCAATGAGCCAAAATGCGTTTTCTAACGCCCCTGTTAAAAAAGGGTCAATAACTGATGGGACGCCGATAAACCAAAACCCTTTCCAATCGGGTCCTATGAGCCAAAACTATCAAAATACGAACCCTCCTTTCTCAAGCACACCCATCAAAAAGGGTTCTATAACAGATGGTACGCCAATAACACCGTACCAAAATCAACCAGTCATACATGGCCGCAGATCGTTCCAAAATCCTCCTATACAGGGGTCTTTTATCGGTGGTCAGCAAGGGTCATTCTCGAATCCCGCGATAAACCAGGCCTTTGACACGCCAATGTACCAAAGCTCTTTTAATTCAGAATCTTTCATACCGACGCCCATGAAAAAGGGGTCTATCACTGAAGGGACCCCTATCCAACAAGGGTTCTTTTCAAATCAGGATTCGTTCACTAGTAACACATACCAAAATCCTCAAGTTCCTGTGACGCCAATGAACCAAGGGTATCAGACACCCCCCCAAAATCAGGGGTCACTAATGAACCAAAGCTCCTACCCGAACCTAACAGTCAGTCCTTTAACAGGGACTAGTCAAAATTACCCCACGCAAGGGGCGCAAATGAGCCAAAATTACCCTGCCCCTATGAACCAAGGATCACAAATGACCCCGAACTACCCTACTCCTATGAACCAAGGGTCACAAATGACCCCGAATTACCCTACTTCTATGAACCAAGGGTCACAAATGACCCCAAATTACCCCACCCCGATGAATCAAGGAGGGCAAAATTACCAGAATGCCTCAGGTTCAATTACCGCCGGGACCCCAATCCCGGTAACCAGTAATAATTACAATTCTGGACAATATAATACCAAACAAAGGAAATATTCTGGACCCCAACGAGTTAAATTACAAATGTTGGCTACTGTGCAAGAAATGGGTAATTTTTGTTTTTTGATTTTTTTATATCTTAGGTGACGGGTTTTTAGGAAATTAGGGCCGATTTTTCAATCACCAGTTAATGAATTAACTGTATAATAAAATTGACAGTTTTCAGTATGGAAGAATTGTCAAATATTCAAATGTTATTCTTCAGTTAAAAATTATTCAATTCTGGAAAAATCGACCCTAAGGGTTTTTAACATTTTTATGGTTAGATTAGAAGATTATTTTAAGGGGAAGGTAAATTAGATAAGGCTGGCAACGCACTAGTGACTCCTCTTGTTTTCCTGGTGTCCATAAGCGACGCTGATTGCTTACCATCGGGTGATCCGTATGCTCGATTACAGACCTATGCAATAAAACAGTGACTTACATTAAAGAGCGACTGTCAAGCAAGAAATCTCGGATTGAACCGATCAAAAAAGTATTATTGTGTTTTTAATTTTTCTCTATAGGTTGCTGGAAACAAAAATGAAGGTAAATGTCACCTAGCTTAAGGGTTCCTTTAAATTTTGGCGCAGTCGTGTGCAACTAATGGGTTACGGTTATGGGATAACCCGGTAAACGAGCAGACCGATCACCTGACGGTAAGCTATCGGCGTCGCACATGGACACTCGCAACACCAGAGGCGTTATGAGTGGGTTACTGGCCTTTTGGGGACTAGCAATTTGAGGATTGTTGGAGATTCATTGATTGGGGAGAATATGGGAGTGGGTAACGGGTAATATAATATTTACACACGTTTTACGGCTTTTTTTTCATGTAAACATTGAAATACTGAAATTAATTGTATTTTCAGTACATTGTCATCGAAGGTAATTTTTTTATAGATATTTTTTTCATTCTTCGTGTGTGTTTGTTTAGTAGTTGTATATTTGCATGCGAGTTTTTGTATGTGTGTGTTTTATGTAGTTGTGTGTGCACTTTTTTGTATGTGTGTGTGTGTTGTGTAGTTTGTTTTTTGCGACTAACTTAAGTTGTTTTTTAAGTACACTTTTTAAATTAGTGATGTTTTTTGAAAGAAACATTTTTTATGTCAGTTTAATCCATGGCAATAAAATACCTTTAGTATGAAGAAAGTTCTTAAAATAAATGTAAAATTCAGATCATATCGTAACAAAAATCAAAATTGTTAATTGAGTTTAAAACCAGTTTTGCCATAAGAATGTCCACAATGCTATTTGGATGAACACTAATTTTTTTTTATTTAAATAAAATACACAAAATATGTCATCCCTATTATTACTTCAATTGCACTGCCTCCAATTTTAATAACTTTTAGTACAAAAACATGATATAACTCTTTACCCACCTTCCAGCTCGCGAGCACGCCGAGCGCTACTCCCCCGTACGTCGCGCTGAATGTTCCCCGCCACGAGTCGCGCACGATATAGCTTCGGCTAGATTGGAATATCAACAGTTACAGGTTTGTTTAACATCCATACAACATACATGCTTGTTCGACTGCAAGTCACTTAAGGGGCTAGTAGAATATCAGCGCAAGGCCCTGCCTGCCATGCTGAACTGGTCCCATTTCACCGCAGACTTGGGTCATGAATATGTACCCATTAGTATTTATAAACTAACACTATAATCTGTACTACTGTTTTTAGCGTGTGAAATAAAGTGTTTTCTTTCTTTTATGCATGAAACACATATGCAACATCCATGAAACATTTTATACAACAACCATGAATCATCCACATATCTTAAATAATAGATACCAGATAAAACCCACTCATTAGACAAAGAAATAAATTGTTTATTTACATCACCCTATCATCTATGACGGATGCAAGACTGATTCATGCTTGTGTATGTAATATCATCATCCACACAACATTATAACATGAACATACAAAGACAATACCGTTACTACATAAGACATTTAATAAACATCCATGAAACATCAATAGAACATTCACACAACATAAATAACTACAAAAATTACTCAAAACTCTTATTATTATAGCGAGGCCTAGAGCGACGTAGCGGAGGCCCGGGCGCTTCGCCTCCTCATGCGGATGTCAGACTACATACACCTGGGACATCGATGCCTGGTGAGTTGCAAACCTTACTAATAGTTTTAAAACTGATAACACATAATTATGAATTTTGGGGTATTGAATATATTTTTTAATTGTTCGATAAATGATTGAATGAAATGTAAGTGTGATTCTTTTTTTTATATTACTTACTTATACTATAAATGTGAAATTTTATGAGTTTGTGTGTTTGTGCGTATGTTTGTTACTCAGTCACGTGAAAACAGCTGAACCGATCAGGATGAAATTTGGAACAGGGGTAGGTTATGGTCTGGAATAACATATAGGCTACTGTTTATCATATAGACGGTCGAAGCCAAGAAGCTAGTGATACGTATACGTATACGTACATGCAACATAAATGCTATCTAGACGTTGCATAAATAATTTCTTAAAAGGGATGATGACGGGGTATGAAAATTAAAAATCTAATTTTCCCGTAAGTTAGGTAATGAAAAAATATTAGATACGATTTTTTTATTTTGTTGTATAATAAAATAATACTTAGATAAAACGAATCAAAGTTTAGGAGTGGGGGCTAAAACGTAATTTCTACGTACAAAATGTACATAGAAGTGACGTCACGCGACATTTCAAATCAATATATCGTCGAATCGAAAGTATTCGTTTCTGTTAGGCATCTACCCTATTGTATCCGATGTTCCAGGCTCTCCAATCCACCAATGCGTGGGCACAGCGTCTCCCTTAGACCTGAACACAGTGTCGCCTGAGGCAGCGCGCGCCGTACTGATGGCCGTCAGGAACATTATGACAGACCCCGCCGCCATGGAGTTACATACCACGCTCGTTCTAACGCAGGTGAGAAATAGATCAAGTAGTCAGTCATGGTCCAATACCGCCTCTACATATAAGATTTGCTATCTCCGCGCTTAGCTTGGCTTGAGTAGTGGCCATAGATTGCATTTGTGTCAGCTTGGAGTTGTCATGCTCACTCTAAGGTCTCATTGGCGGTGCCGCGTGCAGTGGATCGCTCGATGCCCTACAATATGGTTGAGTTGGGCGGTGCTGGTGTACGTGTCATGTTCGTGAACGGGCGCTGTCAACTGGGACTGTTTTTTTCTATCCCTTAGACTGGATTTTAGTGTTACATTGTTCTCACATAATTGAACCAACGAAATAATGTAACCAAGAAATGTATTGTAAACCTGATTGAAAAAGTAAACACTTTGGAACGAGCTAGCTTCATTAGAGGACTGACTGACAGACTAACATTTTTTGTTGATAAATCCATAACAGCAGACGTCACCTCGAAAAACTGTTCGTGATCTACAGATTTGTATAACATTCAAAATCGAAATGTGTTCTATATTACTTTATTTAAAAAGAAACTTTCAGAAAGGGAGCAATTAGAACGCAATTTCATTGAAACACAGCCTTTATTTTTTGTCAAAGTTATGGGCTTTTCACTATATGTGTGATAACATAATTCATTGATCAAAAACAGCCGTTTTACTGACAATTTTATCATCAATAGTTTCAATAACAGTTACTCAGATCCAAGTATCGAACCACACTTCATATTAATTTACATAAATTAATTTCTCCAACAGGACCTAGCGATGAAAATCGGCATAAACCTCCACGCGCTCTACTCCCCACACGTGAACATATCGCAAGAGATCCTCAAATCCATCCACTCATACAACAACTTCGCTCTTCTATCCGGGCATACATCACCCGCCAGCCCAGGGTCACCACTCCACCAGATAACCGAAGGTCTAAGCTATCTACATACTGGATCTATAACGAGAGGGACTCCTCAGGCTTCAGCAACTCCTTTGGATCTCAGGAGTAATGTGGATATGGATACAGGCCAGTATCAGCAACTGCATCCTCTAGTCCACTCCCAACTGCACATGGTGACCCATAGATCTCTGAACAATTCCCCAATCTCAAACCCTGGATCTCCACTCGACATGATCCAGGAAGAAATTGGCAACGGTAGCCACTTAGACAAGGTTTTTCAAGAGAATATGAGGTATGTACCAAGCTTTACTCCAACACATCCTCAGATCAGTCTAACAGATTGCTTAGGGTCTGAAATTACTCTGGTAGCGTCGTCTTCAGAAGATAGTATGGATAGCTTGGAGAATACGAAGTACGCGTTACCGCAGTTCGTGATCTCTGAGCCTTCAGATTTGGATGATAGGCCGTCAATAACCAAAGGTATTGGTAGGAAGGTCAGCCAGGAAACAGAGCCGGTTGAACCAAAAGAAGAGCCAATAATAGATAAAGACGCAGAAATGCAGTCACCAAAGGAAAGTGTCGATGAAACGGCGAAATTTTTGAGCGAAGAAATGAAATATCCGCGCCGAGGAAGCGATAAATCTTTAGGTTTTAGCGACGATTCTCTTAGCAATGATTCAGCTAATGTGTCACCGAATTGCGAACAAAATATACAGTCCATCTACTCAAATATTGTCTCTATAAGTTCCGGATTTAGCGAGAATCGAGGCAGCTTCTCGGAACATCGAGAGTCGTTCTCTTTTTCTGACCGAGGGTCTTTTTCTGAAAGGGGGGACTTTGGGCGATCCTCATTCTCCGAGCGAAGCGATTTCGGTAGAGGCAGCTTTTCCGAAAAAGGGGAAACTCCAAGATCGTCATTCTCTGCACAGGGGACTTTGGGGGAGGTTAAAGAATATTATGAAGATGTGTATATGTCTAGAGATAATAGTAGGCAGTGCTTAGAGAAGTGTGATGAGGAGGGCACGCCACCTAGCGAAGAGATAGAGAAACTACAGAGGTCGACAATGGATTTGCGACTAACAGAAATTTGTAGGCCAGAGGAGAAAATTCCAATACTTCTAAGTCCCCAAAAAGTGTCGTGTGTACAAGAATATTATGAGGTGACTTTATCGACTGTCTGTTCTAAACTCGATTCTCAAAGAATAGTCGAGTTACTAAAAGAAGCGATAAACACCAGGGTTCCACCACAGAGTATATTTGTTGAAACCGACCAAAAAGATGGCGATGGAACCCTGACGGGGTATCTCAATTTAGAATACTCTGGCGGTATCCAAATTGAGCTTGTTTTGTGCGAAAACAAAGCTATGGAGAAGAAAGGTTTGAAAATGCGACGGATTTCCGGCGACCAGAGAGAATATGGGAAACTATGCGAGCAGTTGATCACCAGCCTGACTGTCTAAACCTTATATTATTTAAAAAAAGAAAGTAAAACTAACTTCATCTGTCAAAATGACTTCACGTCTATTTCCCCGTACGCGACACCTGTCAAAGTGACGTGCATGACGTTACGTCATTATGACAGCTGTCATTAAAGTTTTCTTTTTTTTCGGTTGTTGTTATTTTTTATTTGTCTATTGTTTTTGTAACGGATTCGTACCGTTTACATACCTTATGCATTTATTATTAATATTTGCTATGAAAATTTCATTCCTGTCACGTGTTTTGACGTTTGTGTGCATATCAGTATAATGAAAAATTTATATAGAAAAGAAAAAATAAATGTGAATATATTTCTTCGCTCGTCCAAGAAAATAAAAGTAGTTTTCTACACTCTATACTTATTTATTTCTTCTTTAAATCTCTCTGCTAATAAACTACATTTTTAAATTCATAAATAAATATTTTCTTGTAAAAAACTAATGTAGATAGTCTGTAATTCGAATATTATAATAAATTCATACTTGGAGCGAGCGAAGCAAGGTGAAAAAGTGATACTTGTGCAATATTAGTTATGAAAAAATATAATGTACAGTAGCAAAAAAGTGATTGTTGTAAAAAAAAATATTTGTCAAAATTGTTACTTGAACTGCGATTTTAGCCTCTATTACCTCGTAGGTAAGGCTAAATCTGTTTGCACGATGTTGACTGTTATATGACCTAAGACACTGCTAAATACGTATTTCCAAAAAAATTACCATATTTTTGGTATAAAACTAATATTTTTCCAATTTTCTGGAATGTAACATTCCATATTTAATCCGTTTCTTTAATAAAGCGACATTGATTATCTCGTCCACTGTTTTAAAAACTGTCATGGCTGACCTGTCAAATGAAACGTCAAAATTGACAGCTCATCGGGCGCCATATTTGAATTTGAATCGGTTCGTTTTTCCGTGATTAGTTGACTGAATATTGAAAAACTGTTTTTTAAATATCGGAATTGTAATTTTATATTGACCGAAGTTGCAATTGTTTGCACTCGAAATTACTATTTTTTTTTTAATCAGAACTTTTCAAATGAAGTAATATCTCCTGAACATGACGTGTTTTTAAACCAAGCTTTACGCATAATATAACTATTGTACATACGGTAGATACGGTATATATAAAAATTGAAAGCGCATCAAATATTAAATTAAAGTCAATTTTACCTTGATTTTGTAAAAAAAATATTTTTTACAAGAAATTAATAATCGATCTTAATGTAAAATGTCTTTTTTTTAAGGGGGGGAAAATCATCGAATGACTGCTCCTACCTGGGTGAGGCGGGAGGGAGTGTTAGACTCTTACTGACTAAAAACCACCCCGTTCCTACTCCTGCACTTCGAGCCGGAGCCCCGGTTACCCGTTAGGTTCCCCGCGACAATGTAAAATGTGCAGATCTAAGTTTTTGAAAGAGAAACTACAGAACCAATGTCAATAAACTACATTTCAAAAACCGATTTTAACCTCCTTTTTTAAAGTCGATTAATATATTAAAACTGGCTCCTACTTGTACCAAAACCGCGGAGAACCTAACGGGTAACCGGGGCTCCGGCTCGAAGTGCAGTAGTAGGAACGGGGTGGTTTTTAGTCAGTAAGAATCTGACACACCCTCCCGCCTCACCCAGGCGGAAGAAAACATTCGATGATTCTCCCTCCTTAAAAATAAACCCAGTAGGCTGCGCGATACCGCCGCGCACGTTGCTCATGAGGAAGAACCCCTCTGTGGCTCGAAACTAATAGAGCTTTTCTCAGTATACTCACGTGAGTTTACCCACGATTTTTAGGTAATCTTAAGACATTTTGCATTCAGATCCGTCGGTAATTTCATTCGTAATATCATGTAATCTAATTGACGAAGTGACTCATGGCACCTACTGTATTTTTGCTTACTAAATGACGCTAGCGTGAGCCTCTCGGTATTCATCCAATAAGGAATTAGCTAGTGTCAGACTATTGGACGTTCAATATTTGAAAGCTGCTGTGATGGGGCAATAAAACCCCGTTCTACAATTGCGCCGTTTGGTGAGCAGAAATCTTTAGCCCCATTATAGTTCACGCGACTTTCACCACGTCGTGTGTCGTCGCAGTGCCCATGGATTCATATTCATGAGCAGAGCTAATGCTCTTAGCGTGGATAGAAACTAGTCCAGTTCCTTCGTTAAACAATAATGTGAGTAACCGCTGTACTCAAAGTCATTTAATCGATACTTAACCCAGTCCTTAGCGATTGTAAGTGTGGGAGAGCCTTGCTTTGGCACGAATGGACCGACTCGATTGGAGTTATACCACGATCGAGCAGAAAACCATAGCGAAACAACCATGCAACATTGTGTGATTGAAGTGTCCGGAGGCCCAATTCCTTTTCCTACCCCAATCTCCCTGATCCGTGAATCCTTTAATTCCTAAAAGGCCGGTAACGCACTTGTAATACCTCTGGTGTTGCGAGTGTCCATGGGCGACGCCGATTGCTTACCATCAGGTGATCCGTCTGCTCGTTTACCGGCTTATCCAATTTAAATGATGTCGAAACAAAATCGTTACTAAGGAGTGGTTTAAGTAGTCATTCAATGACTCTGATTACATCAGTCAGCCGGTAACCGTAATTAATTTATTATCTCCCCAATACTAAAATGCTACTCAAATTAAAGTCCCGCTTAAGTATTGGGCTATGTGCAAAGCGAGTAGTGGCGGACAGATAACGACCGCAGCGCACAACACGGCAGAAATTGGAAACAAATGCGGATGATGCAAACCCGGTTTTTATTATTATATTCATTTTACAATAAAACTATTGAATAAATTGCACTTAAATAATGTCAACAATACTATTTTAATCTTTGGTTTTATTTATATTTGCAAGGAAAATTATAATGTGACTGCCTCGTTGACAGAGTGGTCGCAAGTGCGACTGCCAGCCAAGGGGTCTCGGGTTCGATTCCCGGGTCGGACAAAGTATTACTGGGTTTTAAAAAATTCTCAGTAATAGCACGGAGTCTTCAATTGTGCCCGGTATATGGCAATAGGCTCACCCCCTATTACATAGGACTCATAACATAAATAGTGAAAAGTGGGTGTTACAGGTACAGGTGGTTATACAGTGCACCTCTGCCTACCCCTTCGGGGATAAAAGGCGTGATGCTAATGTATAATTATAATGTTTACATTGTTATTATTTGACAGCTTCCGCAAATGTTGTAAATGCTACGCGTCGCCACCGTCGCGCACATAGCCAGTTCTGTCAGTACAAATTCTTTGTATAATGACATTGCCACGATGTTTAAGTACTACTTCAAATTGTGTAGCATTATAGAGGTAATTATCGTAAGGAGTACGCGTTCGGCGTTGTGATTGGTTGGTTCATTGGCGCCGACCAATCAGAGCGCCGAACGCGTACTCGTTACGAATACTCACGATAGATTTAAAATACCGTATTTTAAAATAAACAATTTTAATTTTAATTTAAATAAAAAGCGAGTTTGCACATATTTGTATATTACGTACCTATAAATAATAAACGTTTATTTATTCAAATATTAAAATAGAGAAACTATTCAGTAACCTCTTTCTTTCCTAGATATAAAATTCCATTTTGAAAATATAGTAATGGATGTTTCGATTGGAAAGTATAGCTTGCCGCGGCTTGGAAAATGATGGGTGGGCAAATTGTGATGAAGTTTAGATATATATGTGAAGTTATATTTTCCAATCCAATATATCAGTTTAAGGATTTGTAAATAGTATATATTATATAGAAATAAGTTAGTATATAAATAATAAATATATAACTTTTTTGTTTTGTGATTTGATAGGTTGTTGAAAGAGTGGCTTAGTAAATGACTGTACATGTCGCAGGATCGATTCGAATAATATTATGTGTGTAAGGTATAAGCACCAATCGGTAATATGTATGGGGATTTATGAAACAAAAAAATTTGATATATTTTCGAAAAATAAGAAAAAATGTCTATTTATTCGTGTGACTGATGATTTTTCTCAAATATTGCGAAGTTAGTCTTGCAAACGGATTTTGGTCGATTTTGAAAATTCATCCGTTATACGATTGTAGACGTGATTTCTTTAGCCGTAAGTGTCATATTGCCATAAGTAATAAAAAGTTAGAACTACGTTGAACAACTTGTAAATATTATTTTAATAAAATTCCAATTCCATAATTAATTTGTATTGTTTTCATTTGTCCCGATCACAGTTAATTAAATTACAAATAAATGTATGAAATATAAGGCACAGATGCGGCCCCACTTGGAATACTGTTCTCATCTTTGGGCGAGGGCACCCCAGTACCAGCTTCTTCCTCTGGACCGCATTCAGCGGCGTGCCGTTCGGATTGTTGGATGTCCGGATGTTTCAAACCGGCTCGACACTTTGGCAATGCGTAGAGATGTAGCTTCATTGTGTATTTTCTACCGCTTATACCACGGGGAGTGCTCTGAGGAATTGTTTGACCTGATACCTGCCGCATCTTTTCGCCATCGACCCTCACGACAACATATGCATCCCCATCATATAGATGGTTGGCAGGCCACAACTGTGCGCTTCTCACGTAGCTTCCTGCCTCGCACAGAAAAACTGGAATGATCTGTCGTCGGCGGTATTTCCGAACCGTCAAGAAAAGAGCGTACTCCTTTTTAAAAGGCCGGCAACGCACCTGTGGCTCCTCTGGTGTTCCAGGTGTCCATGGGCGGCGCTGATCGCTTACCATCAGGTGATCCGTCTCCCCGTTTGCTTCCTATACCATATAAAAAATGAGCGATTCATGGTAGATGTCCCAACCACACGCACGAAGCGCTTCGCATCAAGCTTCCTTGTGCGTGCTAAGGAGTGGAATTCTTTGCTAGAGTCTGTGTTCCCAGAAAGATATAACCTGGGTGTCTTCAAGGCCCGAGTGAACAGGTTGCTTATGGGACGACGTGCTCCATCGTAGACCGCATCATCGTGCACCACCAGGCGAGATAGTGGTCACACGTCGGCCCATCAAATATAAAAAAATTACACCAGTGGCACTCAATACTCAGCTCTCGACACATTCACTTGAAAACTAACACCAGGTGATTTGAGCTCAAAAGTGTACTTTTTATGGTATAGTCCGGTAAACGAGTAGACAGATCACCTGATGGTAAGCAATCTGCGCCGCCCATGGACACCTAAAACACCAGAGACGTACCTAACAAGCGCGTTCCCGGCCTTTAAACTTCACTCATGACGCTTTTAGAACATTCGCCAACGAATAATACTTTCGGAGTCGCGGAGAACCTAATAGGTTGGCGGGGCTCCGGCTCGAAGTGCAGGAGAAGGAACGGGGTGGTTTTTAGTCAGT